ACTGGAGGGTAACTAATGTAACACTGACTTTTTAAAAGGGCTCCGAAGGTGATCTTAGCAATTACAGGCCGGTAAGCCTAACTTCAGTACCAGGTAAATTAGTTATAACTTTAATAAAGAACAGAATTATCAGATGCACAGATAAACACAATTTGTTAAGAGTCAACACAACTTTTGCAAAGGGAAATCATACCTCACCAATCTATTAAAATTCTTTGAGGGCATCAACAAGCATGTGGATAAGGGTAATCTGGACTTTCAGAAAGCCTTTGACAAGAGCCTTGGGTGACAGACCTTAAGGAAACTATGTAGCCATAGGATGAAAGGGAAGGTCCTCTTATGGATCAGTAACTAGTTGAAAGATAGGAAACAAAGGGTAGGAATAAATGGTCAGTTTTTCACAATGGAAAGAGGTGAACAGTGGGGTCCCCCAAGAATCCTTACTGGGACCTGTGCTGTTAACCATATTCATAGATGATTTGGAAAAAGGAGTGAACAGAGAAGTGGCCATCCATGTTTGCAGATGATACAAAATTATTGAAGATAGTTACATCCAAAGTAGACTGTGAAGAATTATGGAGGGATCTCTCAAAAAAGGATGACTGAGAAACAAAATGGCAGATGAAATTCAACGTTGATTAAAGCACATTGGAAAAAATAATCCCAACTATACATATACAATGATGGGTTCTAAATTAGCTGTAACTACCCAAGAAAGAGATCTTGGAGTCACCATGTATATTCTCTGAAAACTTCTGCTGCTGTGCATTGAGCAGTCAAAAAGGCTAATAGTATGTTAGGAACCATTAGGAAAGGAATAAAAATAAAACCGTAAATATCATAATGTTACTATATAAATCCACCCACACTTTGAGTACTGTGTCCAGTTCTGGTTGCCCCATCTGTAAAAGGACATAGTAGCACTGGAAAAGGTTCAGAGAAGAGCAACAAAGATGATCAAGGTTATCCTTTTCCATATGAGGAGAGACTAAAAAGATTAGGGCTGGAGAGAATTTTTTTTTTAACATGGGCTAAACATATTATCCTCCAATCTTGTTCTCTGAAATGGCTGAACCATTTTTGTTAAAACTTTGCTTAAAAAAAAATTAATCTGGAGCAGTGGTCACCAACTGGTCAATCGTTATTGACTGGTCGCTCCTAGAGACTCTCCCAGTCAATCGTGATCTCTGATGGTGTAGTGGGGCTGCTGCTAAGGTAGGCTCGCTCCCTGCCTGCTCCTACCCCACTCCGCTCCCAGAAGCAGCCAGCACACTCCTGAGGCCCCGGGGTGGGGCAGAGGTCTCAGCACACTGCTCCTGCCTGCTAGCACCGCTCCTGCAGCTTCCATTAGCCGGGAACGGGGAACTCTGGCCAATGGGAGCTGCAGGGGCGGTGCCTGCAGAGAGGGGCAGCGCATGGAGCCACGTGTCGCCCCCTCCCCCCCCCGCAGGGGCTGCAGGGGCACGTTGGCCCCTTCTAGGAGAGGCATGGAGCTGGGGCAGGCAGGAAGCCTGCCTTAGCCTCACTGCGCCGCTGACCGGGAGCCGCCCGAGGTAAGTGCCTCCTGGTGGGAGGCCATACCCTGACCCCCAACCCTGAGCCCCCTCCCAGAGCCAGCACCCCATACCCCCTCTGCACCTCGAACCCCCTCCTGCACCCCAAGCCCCTGCCCTGATCCCCCTCCCAGAGCTAGCACCCCAAACCCCCTCCTGCACCCCAACTGCCTGCCCCAGCCCTGACCCCCCTCCCAGATCCAGCACCCCACACCTTCTCCTGCACCCCAACACTCTGCCTGAGCCCGGAGCCCCCTCCTGCACCCAAACTCCCTCCCAGAGCCCACACCCCCTGCTGCACCCCAACACTCTGCCCCAGCCCAGAGCCCCCTCCTGCACCCAAACTCTCTCCCAGAGCTTGCACCCCTCACCCCCTCCTGCACTCCTGCCCCAGGTTCAGCTCAGAGCCCCCTCCTACACTGCGAACCCCTCAGCCGCAGCCCAGAGCCTGAACCCCCTCCTGAACCCCAGCCCGGTGAAAGTGAGTGAGGGTGGGGGAGAGTGATCGATGGGGAGGTGGGAGGGGGAGATAGAGTCGACAGGGCAGGGCTTTGGGGAAGGGGCAGGGCCTCAGGGAAGGAGCAGGGGAGATCCTGTGTTGCCCTTAAATTCAAAAAGTGATCTTGGGCGTAAAAAGGTTGGAGACCACTGATCTGGAGGCAGCCACCCAGTATGGAAAATTTCAGCTCAAAAGATTAAAGTCTGGCAAAATTATAAGCAACTAAAACAGAGTCTTATTATGGAAAGTGTTGGGAAGTCTTAAGTATAACCAGTGCTACCAGCTCATCATCATAATTTCATTAATGGTGAAATCTAACAGAAAAATCTGTTAGACCAGCTGTTATTTTCAGAACCAAAGGTCAGCGAATTTGTGGGGCTACCATGAATCTTTATGTTGCCGTGACCCGCAAGAGCGCTGAGCAAGTCTGGGCTGATGTTTCTTATTCATCTTTAACTACCTTTAACTATCTTTACCCTCTTCTCAAAAATATGCTTTCATGATCCATCAAACTTTGGACCTGAGCCCCCACTGTGTTGGCCAGTGGAGACTTTCTATTTCAGGCAGTAGAGAGAAGGCTGTATGGCTTATACAGGACTAGAGCTGGGTAAATAACAGATTTTTCAATTTACTGGAAATTCAACAAAAAAAATTGTTTGGGTAAAAACCAAAACTTAAATTTTTTTAAATATTTTATTTTGATTTCAAGCATTTGTTTAACTTTATACAAATGTTAAAAATAAAATTAAAGAAATCCAAGCAAAGTCATTTTTGAACGACATTTTTTTTTAAATATCAAAATGAATTTTTTTTTACCAAAATAGTTTAGCAAAACCGACATGAATTCTTGAAATGCTTGGGTGTGACCAAATCTATGGTTTTCACTGAAAAAAAAGCTTTGGTCCAAAAATTTCTCCCAGCTCTGTTCTAGACCCCTGTGAGTAGCTGTCTTGGAAGTTACATGCCCTTGACGGTATTTTAAAATGGTACAGCCATTTAATGAAATGCATTTATTTTCTGCAAACCCAAAGATATCAACATACACAATGCTTATAGAAAGACACCAGATAGAGTGATTATTTTTAGATACTTCCGCACCCTATAAATACAGTACAATAGCTGTAACACCACAAATAGCTCCATATGAATTCTTACTATAAGGAAACAGGAAATATCAGATTAAAAAGGGAAAAGCTGTTCTGAATAGTCCAAATATTAAAATACCAGTTTTAAGTAAAGAATCAGAAAAAAAATTGAAAGAAAGTCAGTTTGCATATAAGTTACCTTTTTATTATATGTCAGTCTAAATGTGAACATTAAGTCTATGGATCTAGCCCTGGCTCATGCAAAATTCCCAGCGACTTAAATAAGCATCAGTGAGTTCAATGAAAGTTTTGTCTGAGCAAGAACAGCAGGATTAGGCACTAATTAAATTTGTGCACATTTTTCTCTGTCTTGGAGATATAGTATCCAAGCAGTTGTCCTAGTGGTTAAAGCACAAGGCTAGGAGTTAGAAGGCCTAGGTTCTGTTTCAGACTGCCACTAAATTACTGTGTGACTTTAGGTACACGACTTAACTTCTCTATGCCTCAGTTTCCTCATATGTAAAATAGGGATAATAATACCCTTGAAAAGACTTTGTGATCTATGTATGAAAACTGATACATGGTCTCACAAGTATATTGTCATAATTATTGGTGGTCACTTGGCATGCAGTAGGTATTAAATTAAAAATTGCTTCTACTATTAATAAAACTGTGAAGTGGGCCACCTGGTATACTAAGAACTATAAGCCACAACTTTAACTGCTTGCTTATTTTTTCTTGCTTTTGACTTCCATTTGTCTTACTATCAGTGGAAGGCTATGTAGTGGGTACAAGGCATGGAATCATTACCCATCATCTGTTTTGTTTTGAATGAGCTTGCTATCTAATTAAGTAAAATACATTCTATCAATGAAAAATGATAGACATAAGTTACGCCACAGTTTAACATTGTAGGCCAGAATCTGGCCTTATGTATGGCACTTATGAGCTGTTTGTCCAGGTGTAGGTTTAGACTGAGTGATGGAACATCATCTGTTACTATTTTTATGTGTATCTAGTTTAAGTAACAGGAACTAATCTAATTCAAATTAGTTATAGTAAAAAAAAACCTTAGAAATGGAAAATGTAATATATAAAGGATTGAGTAAATAATAAGAACAGGAGTACTTGTGGCACCTTAGAGACTAACAAATTTATTTGAGCATAAGCTTTCGTGGGCTACAGCCCACTTCATCGGTGCATAGAATGGAGCATATAGTAAGACAGGGGTCGGCAACCTCTGGCACGCGGCTCGCCAGGGCAAGCACCCTGGCTGGCCGGGCCAGTTTGTTTACCTGCCGCGTTGGCAGGTTCGGCTGATCGTGGCTCCCACTGGCCGCAGTTCGCTTCCTGGCCGATCGTGGCTTCCACTAGCCGCGGTTCGCCATCCCAGGCCAATGTGGGCTGCGGGAAATGAACCGCGGCCAGTGGGAGCCGCGATCGGCCGAACCTGCCAACGCGGCAGGTAAACAAACTGACCCAGCCCGCCAGGGTGCTTACCCTGGTGAGCCATGTGCCAGAGGTTGCCGACCCCTGTAGTAAGGAGATATATATACACATACAGAGAACAAGAAAAGGTGGGAGTTGTCCTACCAACTCTAAGAGGCTAATTAATTAAGAGAAAAAACTTTTGTAGTGATAATCAAGATAGCCCATTACAGACAGTTTGACAAGAGGTGTGAGAATACTTAACATGGGGAAATAGATTCAATGTGTGTGAAAATGAATAGGTAGCTCCTAATTCCTCTCCAACCACACGTTAGAAAATATCTTAGTAGATTCATCAATATAAGCATTTATTTTCCAGCCCAGCTGTGTTTAAATATGATTTGATATATTTATTTTGAATAGTATCAGACTTACCTATAGTACTGTAGTTCTGATTCTAGCTCCTGGATGTATATCTGCAAATGTGGCACTTTATTGGCTTTTGCTTCTAACTCCTTCACTTTGCCAAGACTGTTAAGGACTGCGTGTCTAGCTTCTTCCACTTTCTTCCTCATTTCTGCCTGTTCCCTCTTCAGATTACGGTTGCAGTCTTCCAGGGTGACTATAGCTTCCTGGGAACTCCTCAATTCTTTTTGCAGTTCTTGATTGACCCTAATTGCTTCTTCAATTTGTCCATCCCTGGAATTCCGGATTAGTTCCACCTCCTTTAGGACACTCTGAAGGCACTTGGTGGGCTGGGAGTGTTTGGGAGTTAACTGTCTCCTATTACCTATAAAACAGGTCCCATCTTTCTTATGATTAGCATGGCTTTTCCACAGTCCTACCTACAATCAACAGGGGCATAAAGAAGAACACAGATTAATTTATTTGAAAATAACTTAACATTTTAATCAAAGCTGAAAATGGGCAGATTTTTTGGCAGATTTTCTTCATATGTAGTAAACCTACCCTTAATTAGGAATCTACCTTTGGCCTATACAAAGTTCTGGGCATAATCCTTGGGTAATACAATTTTCAAAATACATACTTTCTGTAGAAAAGTTGACTCATTAAAGGAACAGCAAACTTTGTCTCAAATGTTTTACATGTTCACATATTGTTTTAATTTCATGTCTCCCCATTGTTTCAGTCAGTTCTCAGGGGCGCAACTAGCGTTTTGAGCAGTGGCGGCTCCAGGCACCAGCGCTCCAAGCGTGTGCCTGGGGCGGCAAGCCACGGGGGGCACCCTGCCGGTCCCTGCAAGGGCGGTAGTCAGGCATGCCACCGAATGCTGCCTGCCTGCCGTGCTTGGGACAGCAAAAAAGCTAGAGCCGCCCCTGGTTTTGACATTTTTTTAGGCATGTGGGCTATACAAATTAGCATGAAGCTGGTAATCAGTAGGTGTCCTGAGTTTTAATCCTAGTTCTTCCAGTGATTCACTCTGTGGCCCTGGGCCAGTAACTTCACCGTTTTGTCTCAGTTTTCCTATTTGTAAACCAGGGATAGTACTACTTCACTGGGCTGTTGTGAAGATTTAATAGTTAATGTCAAATTAGAACTTCAAACATATATAAGCATTATCTGAATGCTAAGTATATTTATTAACTCAAGTTAACTAGTCACACCAAAAAAACTGGAGAAGTCAAGCTTCTAGGGCCTCACCCTTTCTATACTACCCCTTAATGCCAGACAGCGTTTTTTGTCTCCCTAGAGCAATCAAGCAATGCCTGCTATTAAAATCCTGTACTTTTAACTAATTGGAATTAATGGAAGTTCTGCCTGAGCAAGGACTGTGCATTGAGGCCTCAAAGTCAGTGGGGCTCTGCCTGGGTGCAAGGGTCTGCTCACCAGTTCAACTGTAGGAGTGGGGCCTAACTATGAACTCAGAGGTTATCTGTGAGTCTCAAAACATTTCTTGCTCAATGAACTGCCTACTTATTGTTCTCACAGGTAAAAATCCAAACATTATCACATCCATTACTGATAAAACACTGAACAAACCAAAGCCACATATAAGAAAAGAATAAGATCAAAATACACATTTCAGGAGGACGGTCAATATATTTTTTAAAAACCCTATAATGCACTGTCTCATTAATAAATAGTAATACTGCAACAAAATATTTCCTCTTGAAAATTGTACATAACCAAACTGGTTGTCTTAAACAAAAACCAGCAACAACACAAACACACAATACCCAGGAAGAAATAATGACAAGTATCCAAGTTGCCATTTGTTTAGAAACAGAACTATTTATATTCAGTAATCTGGAACTAGATGGAACATAACTCTCTGAATCATTCAGGTAAACATCATTAATATGTCAGATGTTCATTTTTTGAAAATCACAACATCTTCATCTTCAATTTACATATAACATTAACACCGAAAAAGTATGAAAGCCTTGATGGCCCATGAAATAAACTGACTGAAAGGTCAAAAATCTTTTCCAGCATAAACAAGTAGCCCCAGCCAGGCCTGGAAGGAAATAAATTCTCCCACCCTTCTTTGCACTTTCACCCACATTTATTTCAATGGGCTTTTAGTGGTCTAACTTTTAAAAATATGTTCCAGCAGCTTGTTGCACTGTGTAATCAATGAGAGTTGGAATGACCCTAACACCAAGGTCCATTTCTATGGCTTTTCATGACAAGCATTTGGAGGTAGACAGACCCCCCCCCCTTCACCCAAGACTGAGGTGAATGCAAATAGGTCACAAACTAATTAACAAAATGTTTGCTCTGAACACAAGCTTTAATGAGCTCCTTTAACCACTACTAGCTCCAGTGAACTTTACTTTCAGTTAACAAAAGTAGTGTTGTGCTTTAGGTTACATTTAAACCAACTTTTACTGCACAGTTCCAGTGATAGCAAAAATGGAAGCCTCTCTCCCCTGTCCAGCAGTTCTGATAGAAACGGATGCACTCCATTTATCCGTTAATTAAATCTCTCCCCAAACGTAGTGGCAATAATAATCCAATCTTTTTTATAATCCAGTTACCCAACAATAACCTGATTAGATGTCCTGGAAATCTTTCATAGATCTAGTGGGGTGAGCACAGAGTTTAACATGGTGCATTTCATAGTCCCTTCTTTTAGCTCTTTCTCTCACACTCGGGAGCAGCACCACCACTGCTAGACAAATGCTGCTAGTGAATACATATTTTCCCTGCCGAATGTCAGCTGGAGCCCAAGTCTGCCCTGATTTACACTGCAAAGTGCCCCTGAAATCAGAACAGCGGCTCCCAAACTTCTGCTGGTAGGAAGAAGGCGCTCAGGGAGCTGGAGTGCTTAGTGCCAGCGTGCCAGGGTGTAGGCGTGGCAGTGCTTGGGAACAGTGGGACCTGTCACCCTGCCTTTACAGGGAGCGCTGCAGCTTTTGCTGCCCTAGGACTAATTCCATGTGTCAGTTTCCCAAGGTTGGTTTCGCTCTGGCCGCAGGCTGAGTCCCCGGAGCGGGGTCTGGCCAGAGCCCCCGAGTGTGCAGCGGCCCGTGCCCTTCCCCGCTCACCTGCAGAGCGAGGCACCTGGCGTCGCTGCTCTGCAGCGCTGCCCGCATGTCCTCCACCAGCTCCCGCAGGCTGCCGTTCTCCTCCTCCAGCTTCACGATCCGGTCTTCAGCCTGCTCCAGAGCCACGATCTCCTCGTAGCACTCCCTGGAGCAGGGGCCCGGCCGCCTGGCGTGCGGGGCCAGCCCGGGGGCGGCCGGGGGAGGAGAAGCCCCTCGCGGGCTGCCGCTTTTGATGGCAGCAGCCCCGTGGCCCGCCTTGTCCCGGCGCCGCCGCAGCGGGCTGCGCAGCCGGATCTGGGTCTCGATGTGCTCGCTCTCCTTGCCCAGCGGCAGCCTGCCCACCGCCGGGCGCTGCGGCGCGCAGCCGGCCTTGGTGCTGAAGTAGCCGCAGAGCTTGGCGTGGAACTGGCGGAAAGTCAGCTCCGGGGCCAGGTCCTCCCAGAGGCCGGCGCACTCCTCCGGGTCGGCCGCCGCCTCCTCCGGGTCCGCCAGCCCCAGCACCTGGCAGAGGGTGCGGAAGTCCTCGCCGGGGATCCTGCCTTCCGCCTCGCAGTCCAGGTGGTGGAAGATCTCCTGCAAGTACTGGTCCAAGCCCGTGGCCAGCACGATGATCTCGTTCTCCACGCCCCGGTCCAGCCCGTAGTGATACGCCAGGGCGCTGACCAGCCACTGGGTCCGGCGGGCCGGCCGGCTGTAGGGGTCCCAAGCGTCGGGGGGATCCATCTCTCACCCCACCACCATGCTGCCCCTGCTGGCGCACTGGAGTGTCCGGAGCCCTGTAGGCAGCTCCGCTCCCGCAAGCCCAGCGCAGGGTCAGAGCAGGGGCCGGTGTCCGGCCCCCGGACGCGCCGCCCCCGTGAGCACGTGCGCGGAGATGTGCACAGGCCCCGGGGCGAAGGGAAGCTGCTGCCCTTTACTCTCGGGCTCCGCTTCCCCCAAGCCATGCAGGAAGCGGCGCAGGGGGTGGGGAAGATAGAGGAGGGAGGGGGGAAGGGTGTATGAACAGATCGGGGGGTGGGGGAGCGGAGCAGATTGCGGGGTGCGTGGGGGGAGATGGACAGACGAGGGGATCGGGAGGTGCATGGGAAAGATGGAGCAGATGGGAGGGGGTCGGGAGGGTGTATGGGGGAGATGGAGCAGATGGGGGGGTGTCTAGGGGAGCTGGACGGGCAGGAAAAATCTGAATTACACTGAACTCCCTCCTGGTGCTCCAACTCTTTCCCCATGCCTGTGCTATACTGTTTTGTGTGCATGGCTGTCTTGTTTATGCCCCTTGACGAGTACACAGAATGAGAGATGGGGTTTGTTCTAAGGACTTTACAATTTACATTGTGTAGCTGGGGAGTGATTGTCAGATCATGTTTTGAATCGAGTTTATCACTCTAAATATTTTCACATGTGGCTTCATGTTTGCCTTTTATTATTTTCTCTCTAACAAGTGCTGCTTTTGCTAATGTCAAATATCCACTACACTGAGTTTCCCTGTTTATAATTTATTCTGCGAACTAGTAACAGCTCCCAAGACAAGAGAGTGTTGTTGTGGTTAACATAATTAATCAAACAACAGCTCAACTTCAAATACATGTCAGTCTGAGCAAAGAGTAAAATATTTGTTTATGGGTTTATATTGGGTTTATGCTCTTGGTAACCCTAGGACCCCTTTCTGTAGACCTCACTCAAGCAAAACTCCCGTGGGAAGCCCCTGGCATCAGTAAGGATTGCAGACTCAGCATCCTGGTTTGTAAGATGACCCATTGTTTGGAGACCCTAGCAATAACTAGACACAAAAAACAAAATTAAAGAAACCGCAAAGCCCAGCAGGTATTGACTACCACTGAAACAAACAATGGAATTTTAAACAGCCTGATTAAAAGAAAAAAATCTCTTCCCGTCTCAGTTGTTCAACTTTGTCTCATGATTCTTGTGACATCTTGTTGTACAGGGAGGACATATCCTGAATTTCTAATATAAAAAAGAAGCAGAAAAATATTTTTTGTTTTGGGGAAAGGTGGAGAGGGACACAATCCATCAAGCCTTCCTTATTCATCCTAAATAGTAGTTTTAAGAATGCTTGATAAAGATCTTGTAGGTGTTTGTCTCTGTCTGAAGGATTGGAGCAAATGCAGTTGTATCTTAGGGCTTGGCTGTAGACAATGGATCATGTGATGTGTCTTGGATGGAAGCTGGAGGCATGTAGGTAAGTATTGTGGTCAGTAGGTTTCCGGTATAGGGTGGTGTTTATGTGACCATCACTTATTTGCACTGTAGTGTCCAGGAAGTGGATCTCTTGTGTGGACTGGTCCAGGCTGAGGTTGATGGTGGGGTGGAAATTGTTGAAGTCCAGGTGGAATTCTTCAAGGGCCTCCTTCCCATGGGTCCATATGATGAAGATGTTATCAATGTAGCACAAGTAGAGGAGGGGCACTAGGGGACGAGAGCTGAGGAAGCATTGTTCTAAGTCAGCCATAAAAATGTTGGCATACTGTGGGGCCATGCGGGTACCCATAGCAGTGCCACTGATTTGAAGGTATAAGTTGTCCCCAAATCTGAAATGGTTGTGGGTGAGGACAAAGTCACAAAGCTCAGCCACCAGGTGTGCCGTGGCCTCATCAGGGATACTGTTCCTGACAGCTTGTAGTCCATCCTCGTGTAGAATAAAGAGCTTCTACATCCATGGTGGCCAGGATGGTGTTTTCAGGAAGATCACCAGTGCCTTGTAGTTTCCTCAGGAAGTTGGTGGTGTCTCAGAGATAGCTAGGAGTGCTGGTAGCATAGGGTCTGAGAAGAGAGTCCAAATAACTGCATTTGTTCCAATCCCTCAGACAGAGACAAACACCTACAAGAACCAATCCCTGTAACAAACTCCATTGCCTACTCTGTCCCCATATCTACTCTAGCAACACCATCAGAGGACCGAACCACATCAGGGGCTCATTCACCTGCACATCTACTAATATGATATATGCCATCATGTGCCAGCAATGCCCCTCTGCCATGTACATTGGCCAAACCGGACAGTGTCTATGTAAAAGAATAAATGGACACAAATCAGACATCAGAAATGGTAACATACAAAAGCCAGTAGGAGAACACTTCAATCTCCCTGGACATTCAATAACAGATTTAAAAGTAGCCATCCTTCAACAAAAAAACTTCAAAAATAGACTTCAAAGAGAAACTGCAGAGCTACAATTCATTTGCAAACTTAACACCATTAATTTGGGCTTGATTAGGGACTGGGAATGGCTGGCTCACTACAAAAGCAATTTTCCCTCTCTTGGTATTGACACCTCCTCATCAATTATTGGGAGTGGACCACATCTACCCTGACTGAATTGGCCTTGTCAACACTGGTTCTCCACTTGTAAGGTAACTCCCTTCTCTTCATGTGCCAGTATATTTATGCCTGTATCTGTAATTTTCACTCCATGCATCTGAAGAAGTGGGTTTTTTTACCCACGAAAGCTTATGCCCAAATAAATCTGTTAGTCTTTAAAGTGCCACCAGACTCCTCATTGTTTTTGTGGATACAGACTAACATGGCTACCCCCTGATACTTGGCACCATGCAAAGGGTGTACATTATCACATGAAAGCAAATTAACAGTGCTCAATTTTGTGTTACATATCACATAATAAAGATTATTGTGAATAGTAATTAGAAGTAGCTGCACTTTAAATATCTGTCACATAACTGTATATTACTTTAAATATGTCTATAGAATCTTATTTTAAACTAGCTATTTTTACGGGAGTGTAAAATAAAGGCATTAGAGGCTGGTAAATATCCATTTCTTTGTATTCTGATATGTTTTGAAGGTTTTATTTAAAGAAAACAGCTCTTGGCCTCAAAACATTTCTGTTCAGTTTCAGCCTGGAACACTTTTTCAGTTGAGTTGTATACAGCCATGAAAAATAGGGGTTTATAATGGAAATGCACTGTTGTAACAGCACAACCAGATGCCACTGTGATATTTCAACAATGTTTTTGTTAAAAGTTCAGAATAAGTACCATTAATGCCTTCATTGCCATTTTGGTTATATTTTCTTGAGTCTGAGTTTGGCTGAGCATTTCTTTCCAGTTTCATAAAATTGCAAGCCTAAAGTTGGCAAAAAACCCTAAAATATGATAGGTCCAGTTCAACAAGGTCCTTAAGCATCTGCGTAATTTTAAGCATGTGTGTAGTTCCACTGAAATTCTTGGGACTACTCTCATGCTTAAAGTTTGGCATATGCTTAAGTACCTTGCAGAATTCAGGGCCATAATTTGCTTGGTTTTGGTTTGCTCCTGTATTTTTGCACCTCTCGGTAGATGTGATATGTTTGTGGCATAAATATGTGCCTTGTAAGAAATTGTCAGATGTAACATAAAAGTATGTCTACTTGCGCCACAATTTAAACTGGCTTAAATCCATGTACAGTAAAAACCTCAGAGTTAGGAATACTTTAGGAATGGAAGTTGTTCGTAACTCTGAACAAAACGTTATGGTTGTTTTTTCAAAAGTTTACAACTGAACATTGGCTTAATACAGCTTTGAAATTTTACTATGCAAAAGACAAGTGCTGCTTTTAACCATCTTAATTTAAATGAAAAAAGCACAGAAACAGTTTCCTTACCTTGTCAACTTTTTTTAAACTTTCCCTTTATTTTTTTTAGTTGTTTACGTTTAACACAGTACTGTGCTGTACATTATTTGTCTTTTTTTTTCTTTTTCTTTGTCTCTGCTGCCTGATTGCGTGTGGTGTGTGATTGACCGGTCAGTTCATAACTCTGAAGTTCTACAGTATTTTCTAAAGCTGTGAAATTTCCAGAAGATGTATATCTGATGGGAGTATGTTCTCTTTAAAAATTTAATGTTTGCTCAAACATGAAGCTGTCAACATTAATTTCTTGTTATTCAAATGGTAAAAAAAAGTTTATTGCAGCCCCTGCATGTTAGTAGTCCCATTGACTTCATTGGGATTCATCGCTTGAGTAAGAGATAGTATTTGCTGAATGGAGTGACTCTCCTTAGTTCATGCTGAATGGGAATGATGACTTAATTCCATCTGCTGTGAATCTCGAAGAGAAACAAAGGGTCCCATTGTCCTGTCCTCTTTAATATAAATCAGATTTCTGATTATTCATACGATAAAAGTCTGTACATTGACAACATACAATACTGTATTGCTGAAGAACTCCCTTTGGCCTTGATGCTGTAAGGCAGTAGTTTTCAACCTTTCTTCATTTGCAGACCCCTAAAAAATTTCAAATGGAGGTGCAGACCCCTTTGGAAATCTTAGACATAGTCTGCGGTCCTTCAGGCATCCATGGATCACTGGTTGAAAACCACTTTAAGGTCTGGAGTTCCTCCAGGGCACTCAATGTCCCTCATGGTCAGGCCCTATTTTCCCAGGGACTGAGCTCTACCCACTAATGTTCTCTCCTTTGTGTGTTTATTATTGAAAACAGTAATTTGTTTTGTAATTATGCAACCATTGGGTTCTGTAAAACCTTCTTCCTGGTTTTCATCAGTTCATTTCTGGTTTGTTAAGGCTCAGTGTATTCTTATACCTCATCTTAAAGAGTATTTTCTTTCCTAGGGTTTTTTTCTCTGCTTATAAAACTTGACATGATACATTTTTAGCTCACACAATTTGCAACCTATCTTATTCTTGATTGGCAAAAGGAATGACTAGATGATCTAATAAGTCTTTTCCATCCTTAATGACTATGCTTTCTTTGTGTAGGCCTTGCTTGACAAAAGTAATTGGACATGGCTGAGGC